AACATAGAGGACTAGGGGAATTGGCAGGCGTTAGCTCCCAGTGGGGGATGGATGCAGGTGGCAAGAGAAAGAAACATGGGCTTCGTCTTGCAGATAAGTAGCAGCGCCTGCCTGCCAGATAATCCTGGCTCCATTCCCCTCCCAGCTTTCCCATTGCACACTTTTTGAAAAAGTTTAAACGGACTCATTGGACAATGGTTAACTATTTACTGTTATGGAACCATTTCAAGTTGTGGCCATGGCCTGCCCTCTAGCGCTCAGAACATTGAAATGCCTCTTCTAAAATCGGTTTTGAACATCATGATCATTTGTAATAGTTGGGTGACCTCTGCTGACATACGTATCATGTTTTAGAATGTCAAGCTAAAAGAGACTTTAACATTGATCTAGTCTATCTCTTTTCAAAATTCAATTCATACAAAACTGTACCTGACTCTTTAATATTATTTGTATTAATTTCAAGTGCACAGCTTAGTAGTTAGGTAATTATATACTTTACAGAGTGCTCCCCCATATTTCCTGTATGTACCTGGCACCATGCATAGCTATTAGAATATTATTGACCATATTCCCTATGCTGTACTTTACAGCCCTGTGACTATTTTGTAGCTGCCAATCTGTACTTCTTAACCCCTTCACCCTTTTCACCCAGGTCCCCAGCCCTCCTTCCTTCTGGCAACCATCAGATTGTATCTATGAGTGTTTCTGTTTTATTTGTTTGTTTACCTTGTTCTTTAGATAATGCTGAGTGTAAACTGTAATTTAAAAATAAAATTTAAAAAATTTTACTTGACTCTTACTTTAACTCCCAGCTTTCACAGAAAGATAGCAGAATAAAACAAGATCACAGAAACATCTCACATCTGATGAAATGGTTATTTTTTTTAAGGCCAATCTTTCATCAGCAGCAACCAGAGGGGAAAGGGATACTATTTGATCCATAATCTCTTAGGTTTGGCAGCCCTGGAATGAAAGAAATTCAGATGTGACCGAGTGCAGCTCCCAAGGCCACCCCACCGCCCCAAAGCAGAGTTAGTCAACAAACTAGGGAATTCAAAACGCTACTCTCTAATTGAAAAACAAATAGCTATATTCAGCTCTCAAATCATACCCTGGAGGAGGGAAGACAAAATGGTCCCAGATAAAAGCGGGAAGGGTGTTTAGGAAGGTCCATCCACCCCTTTTCAGAGAAACTATAGACACAGCTGCTCCTTAAAGTTGAGCAAAATGAAAAGAAATGCTGCGAATCTACCGCAACAAAAATGAGGGAGGCAGCAGGCAAGAAAGAGACAAAATAAACAAGCAAAAAGGCCATGGGAGGAAATAAAATCCAAAGGAGACATGCTGATTCTCTTTGAGTGTTGGAAGGATGTTGAGTAGAAAAGATTCATGAAGAAGGTGAATTCAATAAGACAAGATCTCAAAGAAAAATTACAAAGTAATTGACTAAGATGAAAGCAGAGCTAAGGAAAAAATTGAGGAACAAAACAGCGTTGGTATAGATCTAATAAATCATAAGTGGCAAAGGAGAGACAAATGGGGCTGAAAATGGAATGGAGAGGTAGCCGGGATAATCATAGAAAATGCGGAATGAAAAGCCAACGCGATTAAAGTAAAGATGAAAGATACTGAGACAAACCATTATTCAACATGAGAACAACGGGCATCCTTAGAGTATAAAGGAAAACAACAAAGAATTCAAAGGTATAACCTAGGAAGAATGTCCTGAAAGGAAAAAATGCATTCATAAGTAAGAAGGGTTAGGTCAGGAAAATTTCATACAGAATGATCAAAATTGAAAGATATTTCCTGGTTAATATGATAGATGTGAAGGATAAAAAAAAAAAATCCTTCAGACATTCAGGGAGACAAAGGCCAGTCAGCCTGGTGAAGGGAAGAAGTCAGGTGGGTTTTAAGCTTCTCCATGGCAACCCCAATGCCCAGAGACCATGGAGCAGGGACCACAACCCTCTGAGAGAAACAAGGGGACCCGAGACTATTAAGCCAAGTCAGGTGTTATCAAGTCTGCAAATACAAGAAAGAGCTTTTCTGAGATGAAAGAGTTCAAGAAATAGAAAACTCACGAACTGCTTTTAAAGCAAAAACAAACGAAGCTATTTGACAAATCATCCCCATTGAACAAGAGTTGAATAATAATGAAAATTATGAGAAAAATAAAACTAGTGTGAAATATTGTTGTGGTCTGAATGTTTTCTTGCGCCTAAAATTCACATGTTGAAATCCTAACCCCCAAGGTGATGGTGCTAGGAGGTGAGACCTTTGGGAGGTGCTTAGGTCAAGAGGGTGGGGCCCTTATGAATGGAATTAGCGTTCTTATAGAAGAGACCCCAGAGCAATCCCTCACCCCTTCCTCCACATGAGATTGCAGTGACCATGCGGCTGTCCAGGAAGTGGGCCCTCACTATACACCGAACTGACACAGCCATGATCTTGGACTTCCCAACCTCCAGAGCTGAGAGCAATAAATGTTTGTTGTTACAAGTCTCATGTGATAGCAGCCCAAATGAACTAAGATAAGAACAAAGTTTTCAAATTTCACAGCTCAGGCTAATCACATAAAGTTAGCACAGAAGAATATACATATCATAAGCCCTGACAAGGTGAAAATAATATTACCAAAATCTGGGAAAATGAGAGGGAAGGAAGGCTAAGCACAGTAATTTTCTTATTTTTAGTAGGTGGGTCAGCAAACTATAGCCTTTGGCCAAATCCAGCCCATGACCTGCTTCTGTTTATTCCATTTCCAACTCAGCTTCAGCTCCTTCTCTTCACCTCACATGTCTATATGTGTCTTTTGGAAATGTGGTTGGGGAATATCTGTACATTCCATAGTCAAGGGCTGGGAGATTCCTTCCTCACTCCCTACAAGACCTGCCTTCAAAAGAGGGTTAAAGAGAATTTGAAATCGCAGGGGGCACCCTCCTCCATGTTTGTGGGGCTATAAGGCAACATCCCTGCCCCCTGTGGTGCCTGCCCAGCCCCCTCACTCAGCAGTTGTGTGAAATGAAGTCTAAACTGAATGCTTCTGAGACTCAGTTTCTCCACCTCCCACCCTGCCCACCGCCAATCCACCCTTCACACTGCAGAGCACATCATGCCCTCTCTCTCCCACCAGCAACCCTTCCGTGACTTCCCGTTGCCCTCAGAACCCATGCTAAATTCCTAAACCAAGACCGACAGGCCCTGCTCCTGTCATCTCATTCCACACGTCACATCCCAGCCTATGATCCAGCACACTGGCTTTGTGTCAATACCTAGGACACATTAAGCTCTTTCCCACCCCTGGGCCTCCTCACTTGCTATTTTTTCGGCTGTGCTCTTGCCTTTCCTGAGCTCTTTTGCATTAAGGAACCCTTTTCAGTGTTTAACCAGGATAACTCTTACCTCCTCAGAACGGCCCTCCCTGACCCTATCAAAAATCCCTCCCATTTTATTTTCTATCCAGCACCTTGTGTGTGGTCTTACTTGTATTTATCACAGTCTGCGATTGTTTTATTTGTTTAATTGCTTTTTTCCTGTCCCTCCCACTAGAGCCTAATTTCCATGAGAGTGGGGACCTGCCTGTCTCCTTGATTGTCATATATTTAGCATCTAGCCTACAATACTTGGCACTTAGTAAGCACCCAGTATTTGTCAAATTAATGGATTTGCAAAATATGTATACTGGTTGCTCCCTCAAGGCTGTTATAGACATTAAAAAATGTGAAAACCCTTGTTTTGGGGGTGAATTCAAAATTCAAAATTTGTATGTTGACGTTTTAACCCTAGTACCTTGGAATGTGACTATATTTGGAGATAGTGGCCTTTAAAGAAGTGATTAAGCGAAAATGAGGCCTTCATATGGACCCTAATCCAATCTGATGAAAGTCCTTATAAGAAAAGGAAAGTTGGACAGAGAGAGACACCAGGGATGCACACACTGAGGAAAGACCATGTGATCATGTGAGTTCTTCTTACAGAAGGCGGCTGTCTGCAAGCCAAGGAGAGAGGCCTTGGGTGAAACCAAAACTGCCAACACTTTGCTCTTGGACTTCTAACCTCCAAAACTGTGATAACATAAATTTCTGTTGTTCTATCCACCCAGTCTGTGGTATTATGTTATAGTGGCCCTAGCAAACGAATACAGCAAACTATAAATTCAACAGCATTAAGCATAAGTAACAACTTAATATTTCAAAGAAAAATGGCTAGGTACTGACGAGGGATCAAAATAGCAAGTGGTTCAAGCTATTGATTTGAAGCAACAGAATTTGCGGGGCTAATTTCTGAGGTCAGAAAAGCAGGGAGGACTTCACAATTTATGGGGTTTAAGGGCAAAAGGAAAATGTGGGCCCCCTTTGTTCATAACACAGGAAAAAAAGTGTCATTAAATATACTAAAATATAAAGCTTTCTCTTTTTTCTTTCAAGTTAAGAATTGTCTCTCCCATCTTATGGTGTTTTATATTTGTTATTTGGTGCTGATCTAAGAATAGTTTAAGATTATGAGCATGAATTTTACCATTCGTCTTTATATTGTGCAATGTTAGTGTTAAGGGCAAATATGAGCATTGAACTCGATTGCAGAATCACTGAAATTGCACAATTGTGTTTCGTAGTTCACACACACGTATGGATATCCGTGTTACCAGAACGGCACAAATGCTGCAAAAATAAATAGCTCGATTGTTTTTATTTTACTTCTTGATCTGTGCATATCCTACCCACATGGCCCGCCTTTGCCTCACTGATGAGCAAGGAAGAACCGAGAGACAAAGGAATTACTGGTTTCCCTATCTTTTCCTTTCCTCCCATGTTACAATTTCAGCCTAAGTGTTGGCTAATTCATGGAAGCAGCATGCATAAGGATGTGATGGGGGATCCTTAGTCATTTGTGTTTCTTAGAATGCCATTGCCTTCTCCTGTGTTCCAAGCAGGTTCTGATTTGAACAGAAGCGTGGCCTCTCGGGGGCAAATGTAACACACTCGCCTTGTACTCACTCTGAGTCTCGCTGAACTTCATGCATCGCGGGTGCAACTGAATTCTGTGTTCGGGGGCATCGTGAATGCTCCATGGGAGGCTGTGTCCGTTATTTTAAGCATCTCCTCTGTTCCCAGGCATGTTCCATTGTCCCACTGGACTTCACTGACAAAACACAAGTTCCCAGATAAAACCATTAAGACTTTCAAGATGGCACAGCGGAACATAGACCCTGAGTCTCTGTGCAAGTGCACAGAGTGCAAAAAGGAAAAGGGAAGCCACTATTCAAGAGCAAAGAAATTAAGTGGGCCCTGGGCTGATTGCAGGCCAATTCCCCAACAACAAGCATGCTCTGGAGATCCCTGCTGTAAAGATGCACCAAGTTCAGTGTCCCAGTGTCCAGCCCTTAGGGTGAGAGACAGGACTCAGCAATGGCTTGCAATGAATTTTCACTCTTGGTGTATAGTCCCCCAGGTCTAGTGAGCTTCGTGAGAGACTGGGAACCTTTAATACACAAAACCCGGGAACTGTTCTCAATCTTCTTTGGGAACTCACCCTGTTTCTAAGGTAAGAACTACCTGGACCCTTGAGTCGCAGGAGAACATCATCGCTTTAACAGGCAGAGCCCGGATGGGTGCCTTGCCGAGACCACGAAGAGGTGCTGGAGACAGCCAGGTGCGTGGAATCCTGAGCTGGACACCTGGAGACCCCCATCGGAGATCAGCTCTGATAGTAAGCATGTGACCTTAGTCAACTCAGAATCTCATTTCTGTCTTTTGCAAAACAAGAGAGTTGGATGTGATGCTTTCCCAAGGGCCCGGACTGAGCTAAAAATAACCAGAACCAGCAAAACTGTGCGACAGAGAAGGCAGAGAGGAAAGAGTGACAGAGTCACGTGCAATAACTTGACCGTGCAGAGGAACTGGAGACGCTTTTAGAAACCACGGTGGGCTGCTCCTGACCGGCTCTTCACAGGCCTTGAAAGTTCCCTGGCTTCTGTGTTCTGACTCGTTCCAGGACATGGGAATGTGGGCTGGGCCAGCCGTCCTGGCAGCTTGTCTCCCCGCCTCCCCACCTGGCGCCGTGCCTTTTGCCCTGTTACCCTCTCGTCCACCTTTGGCCTAGTTTGTGACCCTGGGCCACCGGAAGATCCTAAGGACTTGTGACCTCTCTAACTTCTTATCACTCCTATGTTTCTTCCTAACCCACTTCTGGCCTCTGACCACCTGATGTCCCCAGGAACACTGCTGGAAGCAAAGCCTCAGGTGGCAATAAGGTTAGGAAGAAATCACCGGGGGCTGATCACCTGAGATCTAGCGCTGATGCTGACGAGCTGGGTGACCCCAATCAGGTGCCTTCTTCCTGTGGTCATTGTGTGTTTTTCCCTCCCAGCATCTCTTCTCGGGTGGCAGCACCCCGTTTTTCACTTGTGCATATGGGAACACTCCTCTTTATGAAATCCTAATTTTCTTTTTAATTTTTATTTTTCTATTACAGTTTGCATTCAACACTATTTTTTTAAAATATGTTTTTATTGATTTTTAGAGAGAGAGGAAGGGTGAGGGATAAAGGGATGGAAACATTGAGCTTCCAAAACCAGGCATGTGCCCTGACTGGAGAATCAAACCCGTGACCTCTTGGTTCCTGGGTTGACGCTAAACCGCTGAGCCACACCGGCCTGGCATGAAATCCTAATTTTAAGTGGACTCGACCCTTCCCCCATTCTATGAGTAGGTTCTCACTGCCCTGATCCAATGGGCACATCTCACTTTTCTGGCCACAGAGATGGGTTAGGGCTAAGACAGGACCGTTTAGGGCAGCAGTTCTCAACCTGTGGGTCGCGACCCCTTTGGGGGCCCGAACAACCCTTTCACAGGAGTCGCCTAAGACCATCCTGCATATCAGATATTTACGTTACGATTCATAACAGTAGCAACATTACAGTTATGAAGTAGCAACGAAAATAATTTTATGGTTGGGTCACAAGATGAGGAACTGTATTAAAAGGGCCAGAAGTTGAGAACCACTGACCTAGATGTTTTACAGTCCTCTCAACCCGGCGGGTCCCAAACTGAACGTGGATCCTCCAATCCTCTTGTGTTTCCAATCAAAATTAATGACACCACCATTCACCCAGTTGCTCAAGCCTGAACCTATAAGTTGCCCTCTCCTCCCTCTCTTCCTTCACAATGCTTTCCATGTGCAGGCCTCAGAAGTCTGCCTTTGAAATAGCTCTCATATTTTCACCTTTCTCTCCAACCCTCCTGCCACTGCTATACGTAGGGTGCCCCAATATCTTGCCCAATCACTGAAAAAAATTTCTAACCAGTCTAGAGATGGCTCTCTCTTTCTGGGTTCTGGTTTCAGCCCCCTCCCCTCATCCCTTTGGGCCTAGAAGTGGTGATAACTCTGCTGCTCCTACCCCTGGATGACCATGTGACCCTGTGTGGGCCTCTTTGTTAAGATCATCCTAATGGGAGGGTGTCATCTGTCTTTTAGCCCTTATGCTCTTCCCGTGGAGCTCTTCACCGCCCACAAGCGGACCCCTGCGATGACTCCCTCTCCCGTCTGCTCACCCTCTCCTAGACCTCTGATCATGTAGGCCAGAGGGGAAGAAGGAGGAGGAAGCCGAGAGGCCCCCGGTGGCAGGGCCAGTCTTGACTGTTAGGAAGCCCTGAGGATTTGTGGAGAGAGGAGTGTTCTGGCACCAACTGTTGCCAACTCTTAAATATGTGGTGTGTTTTTTAAATTGAGGGAGGAAGGGAGCAGGAGAGAGAGTTAGAAACACTGATGAGAGAGAGAAATATCTATTGGCTACCGGGGACCAAGCCTGCAACCTGGACATGTGCCCTGACTGAGAATCGAACTGGCGACCTCCTGGGGCATGGAATGATGCCCCACCAACTGAGCCACACCGGTCAGGCTATTGCTAGCTCTTTAGAATGTGAAACTAGCTTCTCTTTAGCCATTGGGTGGGACCCTGCTTGTCAATGCCGGAGCAGTAGCAAAAATGTGACCATCCTTTTATAGACAACCTTCTGGTGCAGGATAAAGCTCCAAACACACAGAGGCTTTGTCACCATAGATCTTTCGAAGGCTAGTTGGTATTTTCTGTGTATTAAGTCTTACTAAAGCTTTGCCTTGAACGCTTACGGGAGGACAGTATTCAGGTAGCTAGCAGTTGATCCTACCTGGAGGCAAGACAGGTGAGGGAAACGGAGCAACTGCACCCAATCGGACCCAGTTAGTAGTGAATTTCCTGCACCTGAGAATGCCACATTTGTGCAGTGCGTTACAGTTTAACAAGGGCTTTCATCCCCCAGTGCCTGGCACATAGCTAATAATCAATACATGTTTTGTAAATGATTGAGTGACTCTGTAGAGTTATTTTCTCCTCCTCAGAATCACCTGAGAAGAGGGGTTACCATCCCTACTCTACAGAAAGGGATACAAGTGCCCAAGGTGGTGGAATAAGTCTCCTGAGACCACACGGCTGCCACCGAGAGCAGCTCCACCCAGAACCCAGGTGTGTCAGGCCCGAAGCCAGTTCATTTTGAGAGGAGTGTGGCCCCCTGTCCGAAGGGGACAGGGCTCCTGGTTCGGGTCAGAGGTCAGGTCGCGTGCCGCAGTCCTCAGCAGGCACTACTACGGCAGGGTTGGAAGCTGCCAGGCATGGGGGGTGGGTAGGCAGAAGTTCAGGCTGCTGACCAGCTGGGAATTGAGCAAAAAGAAAAAGAAAAAGACATCTCGGTGCCAAGACTCCAGGGAAATGTTTGTTGACTTTTTGCTTCATATTCACCACTTCCAACTGGGCTTTGAAGCTAACTTTTTTGATAGAAGGGCTCCCTGGGGTGGGTGGGGAGTTCACAGCCTTGTTACTTGCGGTTCTCTGGGCAACTGCAAGCCCAGAGCTGCGCCAGGATGATGCCTGAATTGCGCAGAAAGTGGAGGGAACTACAGAGAAAACAGAGAGCACTCCGGGAAAAGCAGAGACGGAACAACAAGAATTAAAGGGCAAAACAAGAACCGGTACAACGGGCATTTGTACTGTGCCTTCAGGATGCCAAGGGTCCCTCTCCCGGTGTCCCTCACTGCCCAATTGTCCCTGGTCACACCGCACTAGGAGGGACCCAGCAGCCCTAGCTCTTAGCCAGATCTCTTAAAATGCGCTTCCTGGTGGAGCGATCTGCAAAGGTGGATGTGGATGTTCACTCGCCTGCTCAGAAGCTTTCCTGGCTTCCACCACCGGCAGGATGAAGTCTATGCTTCCTCACGGAGCTCACAGGCCCTCCCGAATCCCAGCTGCCATTGCCAACAAGGTTCTTGAATCTGGGCATTTGTGCAGGTGTCCCTCATTGGCTAACTCCTAGTTATCCTGAGGTTTGAGCCTCAGTGTTACTCTCTCCAGGGACCCCATTTCTACCCCATGTTAGTCCCAGTGTTCATTTTATACGTTCCCATGGAACCATGGACAAATAAGAGAGAGGAAGAGGCAATATCTCTAGAAGAACCTTCTAGCTCATCAAGCAAGGAGGGAAAGGGAAATGACCAAGTAGGGTATTTAAGCAAAGACTTTAAGCACAGAGAGCCAGAGAAAGAAATGACCCGTAATCCAAGGGTTGCCAAGAAGCATATCACCTGCCTCGGAATGATCTCTGCGGGAAAGAGGGGCTTCCTTGGGAGTGATGGAGAGATGTGGAGATGTCCTTCCATAGGAATGAAAGTAGTGAATAAAAACCCACCAAATGTCTGCGTGTGCCTGAATAGAGGTCACACTCACATGAGTGAGTGAATAGGTCACCGGTGAGGCAGACAGAATAGCCCGACTAGAAGGAGAAGCTCTTCTCAGCTCCAGAAAGGCAAGAATGCAGGGCACTGTTGCCTGATTTTCCCACAGAAGCCAGAAGTCCATCTGGGGGTGTGTTGTGTGTATGTCCTTAAATTTCCCCAACTTGTTTATATTTTTTATAGGCACTGACCAGGCCAGAAAAACATCTTGTATGTAGCCCAGAGATGCCAGTGTTTGACCTTTGCACCAAGAAACCTGGCCTCACATGGGTCTGTTTATCTAAACCCGACGGCGCCAAAGCTCCAAACAGCGTGAGTTGCCCGTAGAGAGTGATCAATACATGAGTGACTAAATGAGAACAGAGACTTGTCTGTAT